TATAAATACATTAATAAATGTATTTATATATACGTAGTTAACTTCATGACTTTGTTTCTGAAGATTGTATTTCAGCAAGGAACCACCAAGCTTAGCGTGGAAAAAGACAAAACTTCTATTACCAGCGACATTGGCATGGAATTTGTTGATCCCCGGACACAAAATACCTTGTTCAGCACAGACTACGAAACTCACGAGTTTCATCTGCCAAATGGAGTTAAAATCTTGAATGTACAGAAGGCCTCTACGGAGAGGGTATGTCTCTTAGCTGCCACTTACTTGTAAAAGCTCGTTACAGAATTGCCTTCGTTGTAGAATAAGGAAAAAACCAGGTTACTGGTCCGATCTTTCAAGCATATTTAGGAATTTGACTACATGCAGCTAAAAATGCAGCTCTGAAAATGGAAATCACCCTAGTCATTAGAACAGAAATGAGAACTGACGTCATTAAATGAGTGTAGCATCTGGAACACCATGCTACCTAGGCTTGTGTATCTTTTTATTAAGCGTCTGTCTGGATAACGGTTTCAGAAATCAAACATCTATGAAAAGCTTCTCTGTTTCTAGTAAGATCTTAAAGAATTACCTGAACTTCATGTGTCATTTTCCTTCTGTTGGAGATAAATGTTAATCCGAATTTCAGAAGTCTGAGTTGAAGTGTGGAGACCAATCGCAGCATTAGGGAGGTTGTGTCGGTTCATGGCTTCTAGCTTAAACAAGGTCTTCGTTTGGTTTCTATGTTAAATACGCTGTATTTCTCAGAAAATTTAAAAAAATACGTCGGTGTGCAGACGTTTAAAACGCTGATGTTAGTGTCAGACTAACACAGGAGGAACAGATTCAGTGAAAACAGAGGGGTGAGTTCACACAGTCAGCCCTAGCAGGAAGCCTGTGTTTGCTACGAGTGTTCACTGTGTCTCCCCTAAGATGGTCATGTGAATTGTTATTTTTATCATAAAAATAAACTATTTTACATACCAAAATTAAGCAATCCTTGTTTTTAAATGTGAATATGGAAAATAAAAGATGCTTCGTAGGCATAATGGCAGAATAGCAAAAAGTCCACTGAAGTGTTTTATTAAATTGTGTAGCAAAATTTTTAAGGTAATTACTCAGACACGCCCAAATCACACATTTTCACCCATCTGTAATACACGTCTTTTATTTACCTCCTTAGATTACCAGCAACGCGACCAGCGATCTAAACATAAAGGTCGATGGCCGTGCTATCGTCCGTGGGAACGAAGGTGTTTTCATCACAGGCAAGACCATTGAGTTTCGGATGGGGGGTAACATGGAACTCAAAGCAGTAAGTATTGCACCTTCAAGTTCAGGCTGGTGATAAACTGAGGCAGCTTTATGTGGTTTCAGGTTTCACCTACGTTAGTCACGCCTAAAAGTTCAGTCGCGCTGGGTGTGTTTAGCAGGACTTTGAAAGGTGGTTTATTACTTTGCTGTTAATTAGCAGTTCAGTAGTTTTCAGGTGACAGAGAGTTAGGACTGTTAAGAGGTTAAAAACCCACAGTGCAGTTAAAGCTAAGCACTGAAACACTGTCGATAGCAGAGGGGATTCGTCTTCTCTTCGGGAGGCGTCACCGGGGTCAGCAGCCGTTGGTGGACGCAGCGCATGGTTAGGAGCTCTGCCGTCTCTGCTGCTGTGTTCCTTCGAGACTTCCGGAGACTGCTGAGGTTGCAAGGCATATGGAATGATGGCAGAGGTTAAAGGAGGATCAAAAAGTAGATAGACGAGCACTTGTTACCTCCTGCGCGAGTGAGTCTCGTGCATGAATTCAAACATCAATTCCCCTTTCACGTCTGTATTTTTAGATTCGCTGCGTTTGCCAATAGATCTGTGAAGTGAAAAGCCACTCTACTGCTGGCTCTCGCCATCTCGATCTGCCCCTGGAATAGCAAAAAGTACCTTGCTGACTGTAACTGAGGAATCCAGGGGCATTGATTCACAAATTTAATTTAAAAATGAAACCTTGGCATATGCACTTTTTTTTTTTAGTTCTGTTATTTCTGCAGCTATCCTAAAACCACCATTTGTTCTTTAAACCAGCTTGTCCTTTCCAAAAACAACCGGCCTTGCTTAAACTAGAAGTTGTCTTTTTTTTTTTTTTTTCTCCCCCTCCCCTCTTAACAGGAAAACAGCATTATCCTGAACGGAACGGTGATGGTCAGCCCGTCGCGCCTCCCAAGCTCTGCTTACGGGGAGCAGTTCAGCAGTGGCAGCTGGCTGCGGTTCAAGCTGTGCATGTGTGCGGACGGGACGCTGTTCAAGGTGCAGGTGACAGGGTCTAACATGGGTTGTCAGACTGCCGTCAATCCCTGCGGAGCCACCCACTGAAGCACTGCCCGCTGCCAGGAGACTTCTCCCTTGTGTTTACCTGTGTTTGTGTGGAGTAATTGCATGCCATGGAGGATTTCTGGGTTTACAGCCGTTTGTACTAACATTTGTTACGTAATCTTTGTAAGCAAATGCTGTTAGGTTCAGCACCGTTACCTCATCGTCCCGTTAGCCGCGGCAGTGGCACCGAGTTAGCTCGCAGTCGACGTGCGTGCTCATCCACCTTCCTGAGCTGGGATCAGCAGGTTATATTTAAAGAACGTGGTCTTAGCAGCGGCCCTCAGTGGCCTTTAGAGGTTTTGGTCCTACCTCCCGTGACTTTGAGGGCTGCTGAGAACACAGCTGCCAGCCGAAGTCCTTCCACCAGGATGTCGATGCGTTGTTGGAAGGGGATTTGCCTGGGGTGGCTGAAGCGGCGGCGTTTTGTCGTCTCTTCATTTCTTGCCAAAGGTTGTTACAACGACATGCTTCACCGTACGTGTACTGAGGGGGGAATGGCGGATTCGCTTCGCAGTGCGGCGTTATTTCTGCCACAGACTCTCTGGTTGTTCCAAAGACAAACCCGCTAGGATAAAGAATATCGGCAAGGGAATACGGAGCGTGGCAGCGTAACCGCTGTTTGGAAAGAGTCTTGCGGTTACCAGAGTGTTGTGCTTGAGCTCCCATCCTCTCTGCGCAGTGTAGGCATTCTCTGTTCGCTTAGTCATGTGAAATATTCATAAAATGGGTTTATCTTAGACGCACATTTTTTAAAATGTACTTCCAACTTGCTCACAACCCGAAAAAGGTGTTTTCCTGGGAGCTTCGGCGTGAACAGCGTGTGCGTCCGTTGTTCAGCGGGCGGTAAGCTGAAGCACGCCAGCCGCAGCCGCGCCTGAGCTCCGATCTCTCCCCACAAACGTCGGTGCCCGCGCCTCGCTCAGACCCTCAGAATTAAATCCTGAGGTGAAACTGCAGCTTTCTGAATGTGATGGTACCGGATCCTGCGGCAGTGAAGACGCCCGTGTCTGAATGTGTCTGGGGGAGTCTGTGGTGAACTGGGGCCTTCCGCTGCTGTCGCAGCCTTCAAACTGCTCTGGCAGAGGGCAGGGGTCCGCTACGAAAACCAGCCCAGCCCATTCCGAGATCCCTCCTTTCCCACCCCATCTATTTCTGCAGCTTATAATGCTTTTGGTTTGCAGCAGCATCAAGTAACTTTAATACAGGGGTCACCGAAGTGACTTGGCAAGTAGCTTTTTGACAAGTTTCTCTAGCTGAGCACACGGTTCTCTTCCTACAAGCTGTGCCAGCCGCACACCTTAACCTCAGCGTCGGTCGTTCTCCATGGGAAGATAAAACTGTCCACCCTTGCTTTATAGCTCTTGAAGTACACGGAATGCCACAAAATGCAAATTGGCTCCTGCTGCAGCAAGGACTTCCTGTCTGAGGTCCCAGCTCCTGGATTTACCAGAAGTCAGCGAGTCCTCCTGCGGGATGCATGGGGGCGGAAGGGATCTGGAGGGCGATCCTCGGGCAGGTGTTCCGGAGGTCAGCGGGGTGACGCGTCCCTCGCCCCTCATGGCCGAACCCAGATTTTGATGCTCGGTAGCGGTTGGGGGTTTGGGGAGGGGGTGGACAGCAGTGGGGCTGCTCCAACAAACCAGAATAAACGGGATCAAAGGCAGCAAAAGGCGTTGCGTTGCTTGCGTTAAGGGTGAGGGGAAGGTACTCGCACTCTGCCGCTGCCTTCACGGACCTCACAGTTTTACCAGAGCTTGTGTTCATTAACCCCCTTGAGACACAGTTTGCTGAGAGGGGCACGCGCCTCTGCTGCGGAGCAGCACCGCCGTATCCGTCACAGCGCAGCAGAGGAAACAAACCACAGCATTTTTAGCACTTTCCCTCACGCTAATGGAAGTTTGTCGCTTTTATTTTTATATCTCTATAAATATATGTACACAAACACGTATAAAAATACAAGCAGCCGTATCCTCGGAGCTGGAACAGATCTTGAAAATGAGAGAGAACAGCCGCAGCGAGGCAGATGACACGCGAAGAGCGTATTAAAGCCCTTCTCGGGTTAATTCTGTCCGTGTGCCAGTACCGCATTCCTGTAATTCCCAAGGGTTCTTCGGAAAAAGCTGCGTGCCACACGGCTGCAAGGTGTGTCACAAAGTTCCACCACTGCCTGGAGAGCTGGTGTTGGAGTGCGGGATTTTTTTGTCGAAACGTAGCAAAATTGATCGTGCCACTGCCAAATGAAATAAATTATCAATTTGTTAGCCACTATTTCTGTATTAGTAATGTATTTGGTTGCCTTCACGACACAGTTTGAGAAATGTTGGCCCCACACACGCCTTCTGTTGTGTGTTTATTGGTTGTTTATCTTATTATTGGGACAATCCCAAGCACAAGGAC